TACTTGATGTTAATTGATTTTCTTGAGCTTCTTCTTGACGGTATTTTATATTAAGTAAAATATCGGGAGTTTTTTATATCGTTTGTGTTATTTAAATCACTAGGGGGTTATTTTTTATTGTTATTGGTCCTTATAAGTGATTTTGGTTTATTATGGTTTGTTTTAGGTATTTTATGGTTATTTTAGGTAATTTTTGGTTATTTCAAATAATTTATGGTTATTTTAAGTAATTTATGGTTATCTTAGGTAATTTCTGATTATTTTAGGTCGTTTAAAATTATTTCACGATATGTTGAGGTAATTTTGTGTTATTTGTTTAAGTAATTCTGTTATCTTAGGTAATTTACATGGTTATTGTGGAGGTAATTATACAGATAACATAATCCTCCTATCATAGCTACCTGGGGAGTGAGGGGGGGGGTCGCGGCGGTGAGAGGGGACGTGAGGGGTGAGAGGTGAGATGGGGGGTCGTGAGGGAAGAGGGTTGAGGGGAGTGGGGTGTTAAGGGGGGGTTGAAGGGGATATGAAGGATGAGGTGAGAGATGAGGGGTAAAGAGGTGAGGTAAGAGGTGTCGTGAGGGGTGAGATTAAGATGAGGGGCTGGTGAGGGCTAATAGCTCAAGTGTAACCTTAGTAAACACTTATAATAATAATAATACTAATAATAATAATAATAATGATGATGATACTATTACTAATTATTATCGGTAGCAGTAGTAGTATATTATTATTATTATTATTATTATTATTATTATTATTAACTTTATATAATTACAATACGTCATTTTTTACAAGGCCGCAGGATATTATGAGTTATTATTTAAATTTATTTTTAACGAGGGCCGTAGTTAACGAAAGTCGCAGTTAAAGAGATCCGCAGTTAACGAAAGTCACGTTTAACGAAAGCCGCAGTTAACGAGGCGTGCCAAGGTTTACAGCCTAAGTCCTGACGCGCGCCCTCAAACAACCCGTGGTGGGCGTGTGCTGGCGCGCGTGCTGGGGTGTGGCGCGGCCAGCGGGATGGGTGTGTGGGGAGGGGGGTATAAGTATCTGAGAGGACAAGGGGGGAGGGTGGTGGAGGTGAACTAAAGGGGCAAGAGATGGTGAGGACAGGGAGGGGGAGATAAAGGGGGAACGACCGACGAGAAGGGAAAAGGGTGAGGAGGATTAGGGATAGGTGATGGGGAGGAGGAGAAGGGTAAGGAAGGGATAGGTGGAGAGAGGAGGGGATAGATGGAAGGTCTTGTGGGATGGCCAATTTAGGGCGGGGGTAGTTAATAAGGAGTGGATAGGTATTGAGGAGGAAGATAGGAAGAATAGGAAAAGAATAGAGGATGAATGAAAGGTAGGAGTATTAGAGGGAGTGGATAGGAGAAGGATGGAAGGAGAAGAGAACATGGGAGGAGAGAGAGAGAGAGAGACCTTGAAAGACAGTATAGAAAGGTAGGAGTCTAGGGAGTTGGACACGGGTAGCAGGACACAGGAGGGGGGGGGACAGTGGGTCGGGTCCTATACGGTGTTGTAATCCTGGAGGTTTTTGCGGGCAGCACGTGGAACACTCTCCCGCACACACGACCGGTAGTTTTGTGTTTTGTGTGTGTGTTTTTATCAAAGGCCCGCCACCATCACCACTACTACCACTATCACCTAGCGCCGCCACCTCTACCACCACTACTACCACTACTACCACTACCACTACTATCACCGTCGCCGCCACCAGCAGGAGGAGGAAGAAGAAGGCTGTATAGGATCATTGGTTATAAATCTAAGAGAGTCGCCTAGGATGGTCTTGAAGAACTCATATAGATTCTAGATGGAGTGACTGAAGGGTGACGAAGGATTGAAAGAACTCCAGAAGGGGTGGGGTGGGGGGTAGGGACTCGGAGGATACTGACGGAGTGGCTGAAGGGATATCCTGAAGGCCAAACAGGACCCTGGGACACTGCTATCTGACGAGGAGGTGAACTTGGTTGACTGTGTTAGGAGGAATGATGGTCGGACGATGAGACAGAGAGAGACGGGTAGAGATTGAATGAGAGATGGAGACAGATAGGGAGACGGGGGGGGGTAGGAAGGAAAGGGGGAAGGAAGAGGAGGTTGGGAAGTTGAAGGAAGGATTATGATGCTAAGGAGAGACAGACGAAGGGAGAGAGGAAGAAGGGGGCGAAGAATGCTGAGGAAGGAGGGAGAGAAAGGAAGGAAGGAGGGAGAAAGGAAGGAAGGGAGAGAAAGGGAGGAAGGGAGGGATGGATGGTGGCTCAGCAGGAAACAATAACTTGTGGTCGTGGTGAGGGGGGGGGGAGTCTGGCCACCACTGTGTACACTGGGTCTACCTCCCTGTGTGTGTGTGTGTGTACGAAAACTCACCATGATGCCAACTTAAACATATTTTAGGTACACACACACACACACGCGCACACACACACACACACACACACACACACACACACACACACACACACACACACACACAGATGGAAGTCAGGTTCGATTAGGTTAGGATATGTTAGAGTAGATTAGCGTTAAGTTAAGTGAGTTTAGCGTTAGGTTAGGCTAGCTTAGAGTAGGTTAGGTTAGGTTATAGCTGCCAATCCCTCACGAGAGCCAATTAAACCAACGATTTACCTTAACTTAATCATCTCCACACACTGATCTAATCACTCCAGCTAGGATTAAAGGATTGGGTTTAAGTGTTGATGGTGTAGGTTTTATTAACAGTTAAAACGAGTAAGTGGCCGTGGTTTTAACGGAGTTTAGTGGGTCACAGGGACTGGGTTTAATGTTTTGTGGGTTTATTTGTTTTAAGGGGATTGAGCCCAAGGGGTGTGAGTTATTTATGTCTTGATTGGTTGGTTTAACGGATCAGAGAGTGTTAAAGCGATGATCTGTTGGGTTTAGTTTGGTTTAACAGGCCAGAGAGTGTGGAAAGCTGGCGCTGTATGGTTTAGTTTGGTTCTAAATATAATGTTTTAATCTAGTTTAAGTTTTTAATATTGGTTTATGGCGTAGATAGGAGGTTTTGTCGGGTTTAATTAGGTTTTATGGCTGTGAGTTGCGTTTTTTTAGGGATGGACAGTATTATAAGATAAAGGTAAAATAGGTAATGGTTTAAACCGGTTTATCACCTAAATGTCGCTTAGTTTAGGGGTTTAATGGATGTTTTAGCTTAGTACATGTCGGGTTAGATGGATTTTCTGGGTTTAGGATTTAGGCATGGTGAGGGTAGTGGCCTTAAGTTAGGTTTAATGTGGTTTATTACCTACATAAGACTCAGGTCAGGTGTTAGATTGGTTTAACTTTATGGATTCCGTGTTGATTGGTTTGGTTTAGTCGTTTTTACCTTTAATGGGGACGCTGATCTTATTCGGGTTTAGCAGTTTTAACGAGACACATACATACATACATACATACATACATACATACATACATACATTTATACATGCATACATACATATACTCATACATACATACATACATACATACATTCATGCATACATATATACATACATACATACATACATACATACATACATACATTCATACTTACATACATACATACATACATACATACATATACACACGAACAAAACACATACACATACACACACACAGAGAGTCCACGGAAATAAGCTTCCAGTAATCCATGAATTATTACCTGATTATACTTGTAAATAATCGCGAGGGGAACTGTACCTGTTGCTGTAATAATGGCTGTTTACCTGTAACCCCTCCCCCCCTAAATGGCTCACCTGTTGACTTGTTAAATGACCGATTAAATGGTCAGTTGGCGAGGTGTAGTGGTCAGTTGGCGAGGTGTAGTGGTCAGTTGGCGAGGTGTAGTGGTCAGTTGGCGAGGTGTAGTGGTCAGTTGGCGAGGTTTAAACGGTCAGTTAGCGAGATGTAGTGGTCAGTTGGCGAGTTGAAACGGTCAGTTGGCGTAGGTGTAGTGGTCAGTTGGCAGTTGGCGAGGTGTAGTGTCGGTTGGCAGTTGGCGAGGTGTAGTGGTCAGTTGGCGAGTGGCAGTTGGCGAGGTGGTGGTCAGTTGGCGACGAGGTTTAAACGGTCAGTTAGCGAGGTTGAAACGGTCAGTTGAGGTTGAAACGGTGTTGGCGAGGTGTAGTGGTCAGTTGGCGAGGTGTGGTGGTCAGTTGAAACGGTCAGTTGGCGAGGTTGAAACGGTCAGTTGGCGAGGTGTTGAGTGGTCAGTTGGCGAGGTTTGGTCAGTTGGCGAGGTAAAGTAGTCAGTTGGCGAGGTGTAGTGGTCAGTTGGCGAGGTGTGGTGGTCAGTTGGCGAGGTGTGGTGGTCAGTTGGCGAGGTTTAAACGGTCAGTTAGCGAGGTTGAAACGGTCAGTTGGTCAGTAAAATGGGTGGTTGGGTAGTTGGATATTGATCTGTTAAAATGGTCTCGGCCATTTACCGAGATGAGTGGATCATATGTTCTGTAAAATGGTTGATTGTCAGGTGAAATGGTCGAGTGGTTGACTAGTTAAATGATCCCGGGCCTTTTAATGCTCGATTGGCCATTCAGAGGCGTGGCGTCACTAATTCTCAGCCAATCTCGAGCGAGTTGACGTCATGAATAAGACAAAAATGTCATCATTGATATGCAACAAATCAGCTTGTCAAACCTCATAGATATATAAATGACGTCATAGATACAAAGCCAATCAGCGGGTAGTGTGACGTCAGGGATATACAGGTGTTGAGGTGTGCAGGTGTGGGTGTAAAACGTGGGGGTGGGAGGGGAGGGGAGGGGAGAAGCCGCAGGGAGGTTATGAGACAAATTGTTTTTCATGTTGGACTTATCGGTGGCGTCTGGGAGGTGAATTAACAGCAGGGGTGTCCTGTAGGGGGGGGGGGGCTGCTATGAGTAATGTAGGACTAAAATAACTTTAGTAATAATAATAATAATAATAAAACATGTACGTACTTAAGTGTTACAGTAGATAGATTACACAGTGACTCCTTAAAACATTACAGTACTCGTTTCTTCCCACAGCTGATCCGCTACGAAAAATGGACAGAGATCGTATGAGCTCACCCACAACTAGAGGTAAGGTTCTCTATCTCTCACTTTCTCTCACCCCACACTCTCTCTCTCACCCCACACTCTCTCTCTCACCACACTGTCCAGCCGCCAAAGTCCTAGTGGCGGTAGGACTCGGGCGATCCAACAAACACTATCATAATTTACATGAAGATTACAGCTTGTGCGTGTGAGGAGTGTGACCGCCGTGACTGTGCAGGTTCCGTCGCGCGGCTCGCCACCCTGACACTTTGTATAAGCGACTCGATCCTCCTTCCTTCCCCCCCCCGACTCCCCATTCCCCTCCTTATACCCCCTCCATACCCACCTCCTTCTGTACCCCCACTACCCAGACCCGCCACCTTATCAAGCTACTGTGATCCTCCTCCGCCGCGATGCTCATCTGTTTGAAGCGCCGGGAGATACAGTCGTCTATGATTCCCCTCCCCCCCTTCCTCCCCCCTCCTTCCCTCTCTCCAAAGTTAGTTTATTTATATCGATATTTGAGGCTTTGTTATACGTTTTTATTATTATTATTATTTATATTATTTTAAGTGATAAAGCCGATATATTTTTTCCTTCTTTTCCCTCAAACGGTCCATGAAGTTGAGGTAATATTAGCGGTTATTGTGCCAGATTTAGAGCGACGGATGATTCGTGCTTAACTGTTTTCACTCGTAATGTTATTTTTTTTATTTTTTTTTTGGTTACGTGATTCTATTGTTTTTTGTTTTTGTTTTTTACATTTCTTCTTTTTTTTGGCTGCGTTTCTTTTGTTTTTTGTTACGTTTTCTGTGTGGTTATGGAGCTGCCGTAATTTTTTTGTTTTTCTGTTTTTTTCCGCCAACACTGACAGTGTAGTTTAGATTTGACTAAGAGGCACCAAGTAAGTTGTTATCGCTTAGTGCACCACTACATATACTGTATGACCTAACCTAACCTAACTTAACCTAACCTCACTTAACCATAACCTAACTTCAGCAAGCTTATCCTAGGTGATTTAACACGTGTACCCGGTATGTGCACTAGTACGACCAGGTGTATGCACGTGTAGCCAAGTGTGTGTGTACGTGTAGCCAGGTGTGTACGCGTGTGGAGGGCGGGAACACCGGTTGGTTAAGGTCAGGTATTTAGCTTTTTATTGTTGAAATGTTGTGGATAATTCGAGCAGCAGTCAAGTTCATCTTTTTCGTTACACTGGTCGTAAAATTCGAGTCATTTTACGATATTAAATGTTTCCTGCTTGTTATTTAGTGATCGTTTGGGTGTTTATGAGATAGCTCTCTCTCTCTCTCTCTCTCTCTCTCTCTCTATAAAACACAATAAACTCTACGGGATGATCAGTCCAGGCTAGGTTACCCCATGTCCTATATTGTATGTATGTTTCTGACCTATTTTAAACATATTTCTCAAAGTCATTAATGTTGATCAGAAACTTAGTTATTGGACTGTTCAAGGTGCCCACACACAGAGTTCACCTGTGCCGCCCCCTCCCCCGGCCGTTCACCTGGTCATCTTCACTACAGACAACTTGTAAATTATTCACTCAAACGAATTCCCAAGAAAAACCTTCCGTGAGTCATAGTGGCACTCACGCTAACCTGTACGGGTGCTGAGTGTGTTCTTGTAAAAGTTAAAAGACACGATATTGAAACAAATTGGTGTTAAGAGTTCACCTGAAGATTAACCACCCTAACCTAACCTAACCTAACCTAACCTAACCTAACCTAACCTAACCTAACATAACCTAACCTCAACTCATTCCCTCAAAATAGTGTGTTACCTTAGTTAATATACAGGTGAAATAAGTTAGGGTGTCTAATCTGCAGGTGATCTAGTAATTATGGTTGTTAATATATGATACGTATATACAATCTATGGGGGTATATATGTATAATTATGCATATACATATACAGGCCTATTGTATTAGCATCCAGCGGCCTGTGTGTGGGGGGGGAAGAGGCCGTGTGAAGAGGATACCGTAGAGGGGTGGGGGGAAGAGGAGGGGTAGGGGGAGGTTGGTAGGCATACGGATGAGCCTTTGCGTATTGATTACACACCCGCAAATGAGTCACCCCCCCTTCCCCCTCCTTACCCCCCCTCCACCACCCCTACATCACCCCCCTCCACCCCTCCCCATGGCGGTGGTTGTGTAGGCCTATACGTGTTAGTTACTTACTGGTGCGTGTATATGTGTACGTCTTCACACGTTCTCTCTGTGTGCGTTTGTGTGTGTGTGTATATTCAAATTTCAGGTTGACCCACACATGTACTTACATACCCATTATACACAGACTTCATTTTCTTGTATTAGTCATTGAGAAAAAAAAAACCACACACACACACACACACACACACACAGCAGTATACAGTAATGATGAGCATTATACAGTAATTAGGCTTAGGATAATTATGCATTTAAAAATGGCTAAATATGCATGCAAATATGCAGTAAAAACTGAGAAAATATGCACTTTAAAATATGTTAATAAATAATAACTACTAAGTTAAGAACTCCTTTTCTGTACATTTTCTCAGTAAATTTACTTTCCCAGACAGGATGTCGCCGAAGTAGGATTTTTTAAAGAAGGATTAAATACAAAAAAACAATATACTGACATAAAGTAATTTATTAAACAAAAGAGTGTCTGGAGGGAGCTAATGGAGCCCGTGCATCTATAACCTGCCTGGCTGAACACCAACCCATCACGTACAGTTCATGTCCACTGACCAGCCCATCACGGCCTAGCTAACCACAGCCTAATGTTGACCTATATAAACGTCACTTAAGTATGTTCCTTTTGGATATTATGACGCTAAAACAAAATCGCGTATTTTCGATGTTGTATTAGTGCAATAAAATGGACTTTTATATTTCAAATATCAGTAATTCCTGCCCCAGCGTTGCTGTTATGCTCGTGAATTTTTTGACCTTTGAGGTTGAAGAATGTTTTATAATATTTTGGAATTTTCCAAATATATGCCTTATAAAACAAAAAAATATGAATATGCACTTTAGCTCAAAAATGGTTTAAATATGCATTTACATATGCACATATGCAAATGCATAATTATCCTAAGCCTAATTATAATATATTAATCTTGAATGACTTACATTTCGGTAGATTGATATTGTTCACGTGTGTGTGTGTGTGTGTGTGTGTGTGCGTGCGCGCGCGCGTGTGCGTGTGTGGAATGGTCAAGTTAGTATATATTATTTACCAACATTTATGTGAGCACGTCTTGAATACATATACTGCACTTTTTTTAGGCACATACTGTATTTACGTATGTATAAATATATTTGCATCTATTTCGAGTTAGTATGTTTTGTGTATATTTCAGTTTACCGTATATATTATGTCTGTGTGTATTATATGTTTGTGTGTTTGTTTCTTGAGCACATCACCTCCAACACACACACACACAAGGCCATCGACGCTCATGTTATGGTGTCGTTGGGGTGTAACACTCATAGGTGCCAGACCGCCCTTAGTCGACCCAGCTGCGTTATGGCCACTTAAGTCAATGTTGTCATGGTTGTTCACAATGTAGCTGTATTTTTTTGTGGCTAAATAAACTGTTTCAGTATCAAAACTTTACGTCATTCAAGGGTGGTGGTGATGGGGGGGGGGTAGTGCTATTAATGGGGTGGTGATGGGGATGGGGAGTGCTATTAATGGGGTGGTGATGGGGAATGCTATTAATGGGGTGATGATGAGGATGGGGAGTGCTATTAATGGGGTGGTGATGGGGATGGGGAGTGCTACTAATGGGGTGGTGATGATGGGGAGTGCTATTAATGGGGTGATGATGGGGGAGTGCTATTAATGGGGATGATGATGGGGATGGGGGAGTGCTATTAATGGGGTGGTGATGGGGAGTGCTATTAATGGGATGATGGTGGTGATGGGGCAGTGCTATAAATGGGGTGTTGGTGATGGGGATGGGGAGTGCTATTAATGGGGTGGTGATGGGGAGTGCTTTTAATGGGATGGTGATGGAGGAGTGCTATTAATGGGGGTGGGGATGGGCAGTGCTATTAATGGGATGGTGGTGGTGATGGGGCAGTGCTATTAATGGGGTGGTGATGGGGAGTGCTATTAATGGGATGATGGTGGTGATGGTGATGGTGGCAGTGCTGGTGATGGGTGGTGATGGAGTGCTATTAATGGGGTGGTGATGGGGAGTGCTATTAATGGGGTGGTGATGGGGAGTGCTATTAATGGGGTGGTGATGGGGCAGTGCTATTAATGGGGTGGTGATGAGGATGGGCAATGCTATTAATGGGGTGGTGATGGGGATGGGGTAGTGCTATTAATGGGATGGTGGTGGTGATGGGGAGTGCTATTAATGGGGTGGTGATGGGGGAGTGCTATTAATGGGGTGGTGATGGGGATGGGGTAGTGCTATTAATGGGGTGGTGATGGGGAGTGCGATTAATGGGATGGTGATGGGGAGTGCTAATAATGGGGTGGTGATGGTGATGGGGTAGTGCTATTAATGGGGTGATGACTGGTGGTGGTGTTAAAACTTACTAGCCTGAGAGGTGCTATTAGGCGGCCCCGGGGTAGGTGAGAGGTGGTGTATGGGTAGCCAGATGCATGATAATTAGCGCCTTACACCTGGCCAGGTAAATATACAACACGGGGCGTAACTTGACACTGTCGTAAGGCTTCTGGTCTTGGTGGTGGGTGTGTGTGTGTGTGTGTGTGGTCGTCTTGGTTGGTGTTGGATTAGGTTTATCTCTCTATTAATCCACCTCTATCCTCTTTTCCAAACTCTTCCTTTCATCCACCACCCCACACACCTCCATCCACCTCCATCAACCTTATCTCCACCCCCTCTCCCCCTGCCCCCCACCACCCCTCTCCTCCTCGTTGGCCAGTGGTCAGCAAGTTTGGAGGGTGACCATCGTCCCCTCTTTATTTCGCCTCTTTCCCCTCACTCCTCCCCTCACTCCCCGCCGCTGAATAGAAGAGGAAGTCAGCTCTGAGGGGTCAATCCAAAAAGAAATTCCATTGAA